CCTTATGCGTGTAAACTTTTGAAACCTTCGAACGGGAAAAACCCCGTCGAAACTGAAAAGAATGGCAAAGCCATCACCAAGACCTATACTTTCGTCATAATCAAATGTGATAAAATATTTGATTTGTTAGTAACTGATGGTAAAATTATGGTCCATGAGGGCTTGAAGAATCCCCCACTTGAACAAAAGAAGAAAAGGGGATTATGCAAATTTCATAATTTTCTTTGTCATAAAACTTCTTAATATGTTCTTTTCAGGGATTTGGTGCAGAAAACTTTGAAAGAGGGCAAGCTTCAATTTGGCGAAAATCCAAAAATGCAAGTCGACACTGATCTTGGGAAGGTGGAGGATGCTTTATACTCAGAGCCTTTGGATTGCATGATGGTCGAAGCTACTGAGGGCCTCGACAGAGAAATCATAATGATTGGTGACATAGAAGTTATGATGGTTGGAACTAGTGATAGCTTCAACATGAAGATAAAAAAGGGATTGCAGACATTGTACCCTAAACCTGAAGAGAGTTTAGTTGACTTTCAGGAAAATGTAAAGTGAAAGGGTCGAAGGAAAAATTATGCTCCAGATACAATGTTGTGTATGATGAAGAAGCAGCTGAGAAATATGAAGCTGTAAAAAAAGAGAGGCTCTTAAGCAAGAGAGGCCTCCAATTCTAAGGTTTGTATTCTACAAAGAAGGAATCCCTCGAAGCAACAAAGAGTATATAAGATTTTTCCAACGACCTCGTTTGAAAATCTTCCGCCCTCCGTCGGACACCCCACAAGAAAAATGGGTGGAACCAATACGTTAAAAGGGGGGAAAAGGCCAAAATGGAAGGTGATTATACATGAAGCTGAGGCCCAAGAAAAGAAATATGAGTTTAAGAGTTATCAATTTTCTCATAATTATAATGGAAAAATCCAATGACAAAGACGCAATGGAAGCGTTATCCGAGGAACAAAAAAGCTACAAAGGAGGCCTCGACTTCCCAGTCGAAACCTATCAAAAATACTAGGCATGTCGAAAACACGCAACCAGCGGAGGTTGCAAAACTTGGCAAAGCTCCCGTCCATAAAGGATTCTATCCAAGGTCAATATTGACTTAAAAGGATAATGAATAGTGTAGTGAAGGTGTAGCAGAGAGAAGCGTTGACTGCAGTAAGAGAAATTATAATTTTTATGGTTATCTTAATAAGACTATCAACATTAAGCTACCGCTATTATGTATTGGCAAATATAGTAATAGGAGGGGCTCATATCATTGGAAGCACGTGATTTGGATTATATGGTTAAGGAAAAAGAAACGCTTAGGGGAGACAATTAGTTGTCAGTGCTGAGTTGGATAAAAGGTCTTTTTCATATTTTAATATTCATGATGTTTTGATTGAAACTAATAACTCTAATGTGTTTCTAAGATGAATTAATGCAGGTTTCATATATATTATGCAGTGTCTATTCTCAAACACCAACGAGCATCGGGCTTAGTGGCAAGCGATACAGTAAAAAGCCAGAAGGGCGTGGATTTAACACCCACCCCATGCATTTTTTTCTTCTATTTTTGTCTTAACTTAATTTCTTTCTTTTTTCTCTTTTCTAACCCTATTTTTTTTAATTAACCAATTATTAAACTAACCTAAACTTTTTACTAATAAATTAGGATTAAGTTTTTTAACTAATATTTAATTTTCATGATATATTAAATTAATTAATATTTTTCTTAATATTAAAATTAATTAGAATTAGGATTCTTTTAATCAATAATCAATTTTTGACATATTATTTATTTATTAATTAATTAGGCTAATTAATATTTTCTTAAATATTAAAATCAATTAGAATTTAAGTTTTAATTACTATTATCCTTTAAATTATTTACTATAAAAATACAAAAATACAAACTTAGGTTTTATAACATTCAAATATTTTTTAAAATATTTTCTTATTTATTTTTGCTATTTATTTTTTTAGAAAAATGTATAGGTTGCACTCTTTAATTGTAATAGCTTAGATTTATTTTCTCGCACTTTTTGTCTATTATGTATCTGCTCTCAGGATGTAATAGTTTTAGGGTTTACTTTCTCGCATTTCTTTTATTATGTAACTGCTCACAGGATGTAATAGCATATATTTACTTTCTCGCATTTTATATACCTATGTATCTCTCCCAAATCCCTGTAATAGCTTAGGCCTTTACATTCCACACTTTAATTTTCTTGCTATGTTTTATACTGCTAGTAACTAGGGTTTATATGACAAGACTAAAATCAATCGATAGAAAACCCTAATTCAAGATAAATATAATGGAATTGAACACACTTTGCACACTTGCACCTTTAGGGTAACCTCTCTTGTTACCTTACGAATATTGGCCACATCCCTAAAAAGTAGGAATACTTTAGCAAAAGACCCTCGATCAAATCATCATCATACAAAACATCATAGTCCCTTAATGTCCCTCGAGTTGCCTTCGGAAAAATGATCTAGTCCCTCGAGTTTCCTATGAATAATATGATGACAGTCCCTTACGAAATTACTAAAGTATCCTTACATGTTACCTTCGATGACCCTTCGTTTGTCCCTTCACATCCAATAGATAGGTCTACCTACCAACTAATGGTACGGATAACACTATCTCTAAAAGGAGGAGGAAAATAACAAGAACGATCTTGAGTGAGTAGAATACTGTTAATCTCTTGCTCACAACTTTTCTCAAAACATTTTCATATTACACTTTCAAACAAATATTAAAAAAACACTTTGTACGCATTCTTGAGGACTGATACAAGAATCATTACAAAGTCAGGTGACACAGCCCATGTTTGCCACGATGTTGATTTTGAGTATTTTTATGATTTTTTATGATTTGGGACTCAGATGGGCGTTTTGGGCATTTCCGACCGAGACAAATGGGTTATGCACTATTTAGATGAGTTTCGAAGAAGAATTAGGGATACCCTAATAGAGATAAATATCACCTAGGACTAGGGATACCCTATAGTCCTCGGATTTACCTTGATAAAATAAAGGTTTCACTACATCAAATATCTCTAAGGAATTAGGAAAATACTCTAAAGGGTTGGTAGTTGAATATTATGAACTTGTTGAAGAAATCATGATTCAATGTCGTTATAGGGCAAATTACACACTACACCCTAACATATTAATCATATGTGGAAAAAAACATATTTATATTTCTGCTTACAATTCAGTGACAATTTCTAAAACCAAAACCTCAAATTAAATTTTTGTTTAATTGAACCACACATTAAACTCGATAATTGTACGGAGTCCTTAAGATCAATATTCAGAAAATCTCCTTAAACAAAAATAATACACATATTATTTTTTCAATCAATAATTCATACGTTTATTACATCACATGTGGATAATGAAGTAGACACCTTGTAAATATTGATGTTAATGGTGCAAGAGAAGACACCCGCGCCGCCTGTTGCTATTCTTATTATTTTGTTTTTTTATTATTTATTTTATTGATTCCAAATTAAATTTAAATTTAAGGTTTAAGTCTCAACTGGGCTTGGGTTTTTGCTTCTCCTCTTTTACATTGCAACATTCATATTTTCATATGCATACCCCTTCTCTTGTTTTATTTATTTAATTTTAGTTTAACTATTTTTGTTTATGTATTTAATTAGTTGGATTAAATATATTTTTGATTTTATAAATTATTAAATTTTATTTTTGATTCTTATAAAAAAATGGCATGTTTTAGTTCCTACAAAATTATTATGCATGTAATTTTAGTCTTTATTATTAAACTACTGTGTATTTTTGAATGATTATTTTACATATATATTTAAAACATTAAAAAAATGAAAGAAAAAAAATTCAAAATTTAATTTCTAAATTGAGATTTTCATAATTTTTATTAATATCTTTTGAAATTTAAAAAAACATTATATTTAATTCATTTTATTTTTAAAAATTATAAAATTTGATAAAGAAATATTTTATAATATTTTAAACACATATAAAAAAAAATTATTCACAAATTTAAAAATTTAAGGATAATTAAACAGTTTTCAAAATTTTAGAAAATATCAGAACTAAAATTATATGAATAAAAAATTTTTTGTAAGGACCAAAATATATTATTTTTTTAATAAGGACTAAAAATAAAATTTGAAATATTTATAAAGATAAAAAACATATTTAATTCTAGTTTTTATGAGATTTTACTATAAAAATAATAGTGACGTTTCCTGATTTTCTTTTTATTTTTCTATAACTTTTATTATATATATTATTCAATTGATTAAGAAGAAAATATTTTTGTAAAGGGAAATTTACTTATATGACTGATTTTTATTAATTTTTGATAAACAATTAATAAAAATTCAAATGAAAAATATTGAATAAAAATAGTTAAATATGTTTTACGTCTTTATAATTAATTTAAATTCGATTTTAGTCTTTATAATTTTTTTTTAAAGTGATTTTTCTGAAAAAAATTATCCATTTTTTTATTCTTTCTGTTAAAATTATCATTAATTTGGTTGTTAAATAAAAATTGTCATTAATTTTATCACTAAGTTGTAAAAAATTATCACTAAATTGTAAGAGAGATAAAAAATATAATAAATTTTTTTAAAAAGATTATTTAAAAAAAAAAATATTTGAACAATTAAAAATGAAATATAAAATATTTAGGAAGAGCATTAAATTTTTAACCCTATAAAAAATAGTAAACGATTTTAACCAATGATGTATTTATAAATACTCCTAGTTGTGGGATACAGATCCTCTCCTTCATTTTACCTTCTGCTGCCGCTGCAATCTCAGCCGTTGATCTGTCTTTTTTCTAAATCCATTTTATTTATTTACTATTGTTTCATAATTTTTTAACCAATGGATCATGAAGATGAGGGATAGCTGAAGAGATAAGCCTGTCTGTGGGTTTAGAACTTACCACCCAACGCATAGGGAAAGTTTAGAACATTATTAAATGCAGTTTTGGTAGGTTATTTGATTTCTGAGATTCAGACATGTCAAACCTTTCTAATGCGATACAATCGAGTAAGAGTCCTGAAGAGAGAAAATCAGAAGCACAACAAGAGTTAGAAGATGAAGAAAGTTTCTCACATGCAATACAACTCTGCAGCTCTACTGTGCTACCAATGGCACTTCAATCTGCAACCGAGCTTGGTGTTTTTGATGTGTTGCTAAAAGCTGGTAAGGATGCTCCACTCTCTGCCCATGAGATTGCTTCTCGTCTTTCAATTACCAATCCCGATGCACCCAAAATGTTGGATCGGATCCTTGCTCTTCTTGCATCTAATTCTATATTGAAGTGTTTGGTTCTTCAAGATCAAGAAAGACTTGGGTCCTTTCGTAGACTTTATAGTATGGCTCCTGTTGCTAGATTCTTTGCTCGTGATTCTGATGGTGTTTCGCTAGGACCCTTATTGGCTTTGAATCAAGATAAAGTCTTCTTAGCTACCTGGTAACTAGAAAACAAACTATTTGATAGATCAACCTTTCACTCCATCTTTTTTCAATCTTAACATTTAGTTGCTTGTAACTTAAGAAAACTAATTAGTTACAAAAATGTTTATTCATTCTTAGGCCGGAGCTGAAGAATGCGATTCAAGAAGGGGGTGTACCATTCGACAGGGTTTATGGCACACATGCCTTTAATTATCCGAGTTTGGACTCGAGGTTTAATCAAGTTCTCAATACAGGTATGCTCAATCATACCAAAGTAGTTATGAAGAAGATTCTTGAATGCTACAAAGGTTTTGATAATGTAAAAAAGCTTGTGGATGTTGGAGGTGGTCTTGGGGTCAACATTAACTCAGTCACTACCAAATACCCTCATATTAAGGGTATTAATTTTGACTTGCCTCATGTCATACAACATGCTCCTTCTTATCCAGGTATGACCTTTTACATGTTCTTTATGATAATGAAGAAAGTTGTTTTGCTCAATATCAAATAGGGTATAAGAGTTGGTGAATTTACTTGATGTTGATAGGAGTTGAACATATTGGTGGAGATATGTTTGAAAGTGTGCCTAAAGGAGATGCCATCTTTATGAAGGTGGGTGAATATATATATGAATTGTTGTTGCTTTCATAAGTGTGATATATTTATACACATCATTGAATATAATGATAATTTTTTTTATATTTACAAATGATATAAGTTTGTATATAAATTTTATAGTGCATACTTCATGGTTGGAACGATGAACATTGCTTAAAGCTTTTGAAGAATTGTTATGATGCTATCCCTGATGATGGAAAGGTTATTGTTTTGGAGGCAGTTCTTCCTATTATACCTGAAAATGGATATGCTTCCAAGTGTATCTCTCAAGTGGATGTTTTGATGATGACTCTAAATCCAGGAGGAAAAGAACGAACTAAGCAAGAATTTGAAGATTTGGCAACAAGAGTTGGATTTAGTGGCATCAAATATGAATGTTGTGTTCGTAACTTTTGGATTATGGAGTTTTTTAAGTAAAGACTAAAGAGTCTGTTGTGCTTGTGGATGATTGTCTATTTCTGTTTGTTAGAGCAGCCTGGTGGTTAGATTTGGCTTGTTGTTTTTCTTTGTTGCTTGATTAGCATGGGATTGTCCTCTTTGTGCGGATTTCTTGAGCTAAGGTGTCTCGGGTTTTGTTTGATTGGGTTGGTTTCGTGGTGCATATGATTCTGATTTCTATTAAAAAAGAAATTGGAGTTCTCAATCATGGTGCTATTGGAGTTCTCAATCGTGGTGCTAGTTGTTTGTTATACCACTATAAGAGTATTTTATGTGTGCTTTTATTTAACAATTATTTCATATGTGTGGTATTGATGACAGTTTTTATTACTTAATTTTTATGAGAAAATTTGGATGAATTTTGAAGAATGTTAATCAAAAGCAAAGTTAAAGTGTGAAGACAAAAGCTAAAATCAAATATAAGAAAGAAATAGGCACTTAGTAAAATTTGTGAAGAAAAAGGAAAAAATGTGTGATTTCCCACTAGATTTCTCGTGTCCGCGATGCATCTTATCGCGACTTTATGAGGCTTGCATTGTGGCACGATGTTGAATGTCGTGGCGCAATGGTATTTTTTGAGCTAACATGCTTTTTGCTATTTAAAGGGATGCTTGACTATTTTTTTCAAAGGTTACGATTCAGAGAGAGAAAGTTATGACTAGGGACATTTAAGGGGAGTTTCCACGTTATGTCCTTGTGTTGTTATTATGTTCTTCTTTTTTCTCAATGCTTTGTTTGTTTTTTTCTCAATAATTTATAGTTTATCAATGAGTAGGTAAGTTTCTCTATATTAAGACTCTTTGAGATGAACATTGTTTTTACTCTGTCGGATTATATGTCTCTTTGAGATTTATTGAGTACTTTTAATGTTATTATTTTATTTAAATTGTTCTTGTGTTTAATATTTTTATCGCTTACGGGCATACAAGTCGATCTAGATAATTAGAGATTTCCGACCGTTAGTCTAATTAGCTGAACAAGATAATTTGTTCAACTTTGTAATGAACTATGAATAGGAATTTAAAAGTCGGTGCTAATGAGTTAACACACTTAGAACGCCTAATTTAACCTTGAATTAGCCTAAGGAATTAGAGAATTACCGTATAAATTAGTGAATTGCACACCAAGGATTACATTTAATGGTTATGTAAATTCACAATGAGATAAAAATATGATTGAACCTCAACAGATACACATTTCATCACAGGTAAAAACAAGGAGATTCGATAATAAAGTCCCAATTACCTTTTGCAATCTTGAATTTCATCTTTTCAAATTTTCGTTTTAGAACCGTTTTTCTATCGAAAACTCCCCCATTTAATTACTTAAATTCACATGTAATTCTCTTGTTAAATTACAATCCTCCTAGAAACGATCTTTTTATTATTACTTCGACACTATTGATATATTTACCAAGAAGTCATCAAGTTCTTGATGTTGATGTTGTTGTAAGGGATTGTTGATTTTACAAGGCAACTTAGTACGACATTTTTAATTTTAATTTTAGCTTCAAATTTTAGTTTTAGTTTTAAATTTTTGCATATTTGATTTAATTTTTAATTTTGTTATGAATTTGTTTTAATATTATTTCTACTTTTGCTTTATTTTATTTGGTGTGGTGCTACTAAGTAATTTACTGTTTGTTTATGCGAGGTACCGACTCCATGTTGATACCAATCAACTCCGAAATTGAAAGAACATTCTGTGCATTTTTCAAAGCGAGAAGATAAGCACTTCAAGTTATCTAAGAATTAAAAGAAAAGAAAGTATATATGGTCACTTCATCACGTTAAACGTTGGAGGACTATTGAAGGAAGACCGACTCATGACATATTTGTTTAAGATTCCAACCAACTAATCTAGTAACCTTTGACATAAAAATTACGTGCTTTCAAGTTTGAAGGAAAATCTGTTCCACGGGCAAAAAAAATGAATGCAATGTGTTCCTGATCATCGATAATTTCTTTCAAAGAGTGATGCTCTTTAATAAAAGTACTATAAGTCGTCTTTTTAAACTCGAACGCCGGTTTGGTTTTAGTTTTATTGAAGGTTTGAAATCCTCACCAATTGGCTTAAGGCCAGCTATAGCAGTAATATAAAAAAGGGTGAGGGTCACCAGAGTTGGTGGTGGATTTCCAAAAGCATAAAGCAGCTGTGATCATGGAGAGGTTGTAGCTGGGGTCGACTCTTGAAAGTTGTATTAGGCTATAAATGCCTTGATCCTGTCATACAAGCTTCTTTTTATGCTTACCTTATTCAACCAGTTGATATAAGTTATTTCCACACCGTCAACAGGAGGCACATAGCGAAAAAACCAGCTCTTCAAGAGCTGGAGTCAATGGGATGGTCACGGAAGACCAAAGGTTCTCAACCGGCATAAGTGGGAAAAAAGTTCTTCAGAGCGGTTGGTTTCTTCTAGATCCTGGAGAGAGGGCCCATGAATGTGAGACTGGTGCCCCCAAGAGAGTAAGAGATTATTGTATCAGTGTACCACATTCTTCGTTGCACCTTATCCATGGGGGGTTCAGGAACATATACACGATCATCATGGTAAATAGGTTCTTCAATGCGACAGGAGAAAGAAGGGTTAAGAGTTAACTATGTGGTTTGGTGCCATTGTTGTTCACAACAAGTTTTCTGAAGAAAGTAGGGAAAAAATGAAGTTTTTTCGGAAGAAAGAAAATAGGTTGTGGAGTTTTTCCGGTTCATTCTTTGCTCAAAGGGAGTTTTTACGAAGAAGCAAAAGAAAAGTGAAGAAAAAGGGTTTAAATATATCAAGAAAGAAGAAGAAACACATGTTCCTTCAGAAATATGGACAAGTGTTATTGGGGGGAGTGGGCGGTTGGCGACAGACATGGGAAAATAAAAAGGTTATGAAATTAAAAATGATTTAATTTAATTTCATTTATGTCAATGGCTTTTTATTACTCTTGAAAATAGGAGTATTGATGAGGATTAGTGGTTCGCGCGTTCTGATGTGACGATTTGGTTAAATTTCAATCATGATGACTAAATAAATGTCCCATAAGTATGATATGTACAATTTAGAAGTTGAGTCAAGATGAATTCAAAAATGCCACCTTTCTTTTACTCGGAAAATTGTCAAAAGTGACTTTTTTAGGGGGCATGTTAGCCTAGAAATTTCATATAATAAAAAAATGAAGTTTCATGCATTGCAAAAAGCTAAGTGTTAACATCCATTTATTGAGCGTCGACAAAAAAACACACTACGTTGAAAGGTTCTATCGACATGGCAAATATGATTTGGAGAAATCTCAAGAGCAGGTCCACAAGATCAGGATCATGTTGAAACATGTCTGGAATCTCAAAAAGGGCATTCGAAGAGAAGATACCTCGACCAAGTTGTGATGTCGACATAAGTAATTTATAAATATAAAAGACAATATTTTTTGAGTCTGGAACAATAGTCAAGAAGTGCGTCGATAAGAGTGACAATTTGAATGTTGACAAGAATCTTTGTGAGAGTTCGAGGTTGTTATTGATACAAGAGATGAGTTATCAGCATTTAAAGTCATAAGACACATGGTAGTGGAATAAACACGAAAGTTTAAAATTAGATGATACATGTCAAAACATTTAATAGATAACCATCATCGACAATTATTTTAGAATAGTATAAATAACAATTTCATATGTTGTAAACAGGGTGGAAGAATCATTATAACTTCACATGCACTCAAAGTACTCACATATACGAGAGAAACGAGTCCCTGAAGAAAATGTATAATAAGGCCTACCATCTTTTACTTATGTAGATAAATTTTATTTGTCATTCTTCTTAAGTCTATTTATTTTACTGTAGTTTAAATTACCAACTCAACACAGATAAATTATTGTTCTTTTGAATATTACTTTCACTTTTACTTAAGTAAATTTTCAAACATTAGACACAAAACTCTTGACAATTTTAAATGCACACTTTTTCCAAGAGAAATTACACAATATGCTCAAGATTTACTAGTTTGATCCTTCAAATAATAAATTAGCAATGTTATTCATACTCCACTTTTACACCAATACTTACACCAAACACTATTCACCGTATTTATACGGTGAATAGTGTTTTTTTTTTTTTTTTTAAATATTTATGAATAGTGAAATACTATTATAATAACAATAATTTTTTTTTAATTTTTTTTAGTAGTAAAACAAAGTTGGTTAATGAAATATAAAAATTTGGTTAATGAAATGATAAAGTTGGTTAATAAACGCCCATATATCAGAAATAATTTTTAATAGTAAAATAAAGTTGGTTAATGAAGTGTAAAATATTGATAAGTGAAGTTATGAAATTGGTTAATAAACGCTTAGTGTTGTACTCCAAAATTTGCCCTCTCATTTATCAAAATTATTCTCACAAGATCTCTTTGACTCGAGACTGCATTAGGGTTTGATCAGCTCAAGACACCTCCTCATGCACTGATGACCAAAATTAGGGTTTGAGTTTGCACAAGGATTCTTGGACTATCAATGATTCATATGACTTTCAAACATCATTATGGGCCCCTAAGATTACTCATGACAAGTTTCAAGCCTTGAACCACATTTTTGATCAGTCAATTGGACAATTGACCTAAAAATCAACTATATTAGGGAAAAAGTCAACCATGGCCAATTTACAGTCAAACTTCATAATTTTTTATCCATATCAACATTCTAGACTCATATGTATCATTTGATCAAGTTTGGATTACAATTCCTCAAGAAATTTGATCAAATCATCAAAAGGGCAAAATGGTCAAAATTAGGGTTTGACTAAGGAAGGGCAATTTCTGATTTTTTGACCTAGCAAATGACCAAGTGAGTTAAAGAATGATTCCAATGATTCAATTGCATCATCTTGATCTAATTATATGGTTCAAAACATTTCAATTTCATTGATAGACAGATGAAATTTGCAGTAAACTGATCAAAAGTCAATTGTACACTAAAAAGTCAAACTTTGACTTTTTGGTCAA